GGCTAGATGGTAAACAAATAAGGGAGGAAAAGGCTAGAAGTGGAATATGGCAAGAGGCAGCAGATGCTCAAATTAGGCTCCATTGAATCTCACAACGCATTCCAAAGAAATCAGAAAGTTATACAACATTTTGCAATAATGAAGACAGCCATCCAAACCTATTTCATTATAGATTGGTGTGGGGACTTCTGGTTTTTCAGATGTAGCTTGACCTCATCTCTCGTTAACCCCAGCATAGCAAACGGGCAAGAGTGATGAGTATACAATCTGTAAAGGGTCAACAGGATACTCTATAGCAGTGGTCTCAACCTGTGGGTCCCTAGATATTTTGACCTTCAACTCCCAGAAATCCTAACAGCTGGTAAACTGGCTGGGATTTCTGGGAGTTGTAGGCCAAAACACCTGGGGACCCACAGGTTGAGAACCATTGCTCTATTGTCTGAAAATAGACTGGATTTCCACTCATCCCACCACTTCTCAAACTCTCAAAACAGCTGAAAATCTGCCCAAAAAGGAACTGGAAGTAACATGATTGTATTGATTCATTATTTAACAATTGATTCGATTGACCTATTCTAGTTGGGATTCACCAATCAGATTCCAACTCAAATGCTTTTAACATGGAATGAAAGAGGTCTTAGAAGGCATTCAAATGAATCTCTGTTAGGTACTGTGATGGGCCCATGTGGTGTAATGGTTTGAGGATTGGAACCAGATTCTGGAGACAAGGGTTCAAATTTCTGCTCAGCCACTGGATGACCTTGGGCAACACGCTTTTTCAGCTTCAGAGAAAGGGAAAGGCACATGAATACATCTTGGCAAGAGAACTGTGATAGGTTCATCATAGGGTTGATGTAAGTTGGAAATGACTTGAAGCCACACACCAACAAGATGTGATACCTTCAGATTTCATCTAGAATTGACTAGAGGACTGGTGAGATGAAGGAGCGAATAAACATGTTTTAAACAAGGAAACTCTCCTGTTATCTGGACCAGTCACTGTAGTTATCCAAAATAGGTAGACTGTGTACATTTTACAAAGTCCAGTAAGAGAAATTCAGAAATATTCATATTTGTCTCAAAGTAGTCTTATGAACTTACTAGCTGTACCCGCCACGCATCGCTGTGGCCAACCTTCCCTATCTCTTCCTCTTCTTTCTCTCCTTCCTTCCCTTTTTTCCCTTCTCACCTTCCTTCCTTCTCTTCTTCTTTCCTTCCTCCCCCCCCCCCAACTTCTCTTTCCCTTCCTCTTTCCCTCCTTTCTTCCTTCTCTACCTATTCTTGGACTGCAACTCCCAGCAGTCCTCCTGATCAATCTATGTACTTACCTACCTATGTCTAATCTATCTATCTGAAGGATGGCTGGGAGTTGCAGTCCAGGAATAGGAAATTGAAAATATGCAGGAATTGGGATGCTCTCAAAGAAATCCAAGGAGAAGAAAGCTTGCAGCCTGGAAGCAGTGCATTTGGATCATCCTCCTCTCCCCTAAGGGCCTGGTCTAGGGGATGCTGGGAGCTGTAGTGCAGAAGAGTGTGGATATGCTATTGTGTGTTTTATTTGCCAGGGGGAGTTGTTTCCACGCATGCACTGTAGCATCTTTTTACTTTTTTGGCTTTTTAAGCTTCTTCTGCTGTGTTTTTCAGAGTGATGTACACTTGCTGGCCTGATAGGAGTATTGTGTCCAAATTTGGTGTCAATTCCCCCAGTGGTTTTTGAGTTATGTTAATCCCACAAATAAACATTACGTTTTTATTTATAAAGATTTCAACTTGTCCCTGAATAGATATCCACATGATTACCCTATTACTGTCTTTAATCATCAGTCTAAGCAAAGACAAAATTGGCCATCTATTTAAAATGTTAGATATATATTTATTTGTTTACTCTGGCCAATTCGTTTGGAAACAAAAGTTTTGAAGAACTGTCATATTTCAAGAGCAGCCAATTATACAATGGCCTGAATTACAGAACAATAATTCCTTCCGACCAATAAAAATATGCATGTGTGCATAAACATTCAGTAGTGAGGGCAATTAATAAAATAATTATAGTAAGTTTATGACTACTGTAGGTCATTTGATTAATAAGAAAACAATGTATAAGCCACAGCACTGGTGCACAGGAAATGTTTAGATCTGCCTACAGGAAATGTTTACAGCATATTTCCCTCAAAGCCCTTGTTTATACTGTAACAGTTTCTATGGGATGTGCAAATTTTTGCTGAAAAGTGTGTGTGTGTGTGTAGATCATAAGCAATCTGTAATACAGCAATGCCTTCTTGCTGTTTTGTAGTAAGGAAACTACCACCTAACAACAATAGACCCCATGCTGTTCAGAAAAAAAGCCACTTGCATTAGATTTTTCATTTTGTTTTTCCCACTGGCATCCTTCAGGAAGTTATTGAGAGCGGTTTGTATATAGCACATAATGACCTTATTCAAATCAGTTCAAAAGGTAAATGAGGCAAAATTATCTTGCAGATGGTGGAAAAGAAAACAGGAAGCTTCCCAATTCGGCAGTATTTAGGATGCTTTCCTTGCTGTTTTGTTTTGCTATAAATTATCTCCCATCTTTACAGCAAGATATATTTTTGTCATAATTTGAAACAGACATTTTCTGGAGTACAGCTTTTAAAGTCCCAAGCCAGCAGGGCCACTGGTTCTACAATCCAAATAAATAACTCTTCTGATTTTTCTCTATCCCTTGGCCATTTATTATCGCTCTTGAAAAACAAGATTAAAGGGACAATGACAATGTTTAAGAAAAAAATGTCTTCCTAGCAAATTAGTGCTTCCCGAACGTTAGGAAGAACTTCCTAATGGTGAGAGCTGTTCAGTAGTGGAACTCTCTGCCCCGGAGTGTGGTGGAGGCTCCTCCTTTGGAGGCTTTTAAACAGAGGCTGGATGGCCATCTGTCGGGGGTGTTTTGAATGTGATTTGCCTGCTTCTTGGAAGGGGGTTGGACTAGATGGTCCACAAGGTCTCTTCCAACTTTATGATTCTAGTATGCATGATATATTTTATTTATGAAAATATGCATTCTTGGAAAAGTTTGAATTTTAAGTGTGTCGAATCTATGATGTTATACACTAATGAAAGGTGAGCATTAGGAGCCCAAACTTAGCTGGCATTGTGTTTATTTCCAATTAAAGTGATTCTAATTTATACAATTGAAAATGTCCACCATCATCTCCACTTGAACAAGTAAGTTAAATGCTGGCAAAGATTTGTTAAGGTTCAGCATTATAGTAACAGAGTCCTCTATAATTTTGCATGGACAGATAACAATAACTTGTCAAAAACATACCAAGGGATATATTCATTTGTGATGTATCAATTTCGGAACATTTAAAATTAATATACCAAGTTAACTGGAAGATTCTAAAAGCTGTTGATTATGGAAAGTTTTTTTCCAAGCTTTGTGGTGAATCATAATTACTGATGTGAGAATAAAAATATGATTCTATGATATGATTCTATGATTTATGCTTACTCAAAAGCAAGCCGTACTATAATCGATCAGATTTACTCCTGATTATGCCCCCGGTGGCTTGATTGGGAGTGGTAAAACCGCTGAGCTGCTGACCAAAAGGTTGGTGGTTTGAATCCGAGGAGCAAGGTGAGCTCCCACTGTTAGCCCCAGCTTCTGCCAACCTTGCAGTTCAAAAACCTGCAAATGTGAGTAGATCAATAGGTACTGCTTCTGCGGGAAGGTAACGGCGCTCCATGCAGTTGTGCCAACCACATTATCTTGGAGGTGTCTACGGACAAAGCCAGCTCTTTGGCTTAGAAATAGAGATAAGCACCACCCCCCAGAGTTGGACTCAACTAGACTTAATGTCAGGGGAAACTTTTACCTTTTTAAAGTTGACTGTAGCCTGACAATGTTGAAAACAGGGAGAAAGGCCATTTACTATGAATAGGCCATTCTGAAAAATCAAAATCATTTTAATACCTAAATAAGCTTACAGTGGTTTTTCAAGGAAATTCTGTAACTCAATGGTAGGCAATATAGGTTGTATCCTGTCATTTTAACGTTCATTCCAGCTTCCAACCTACAAGGAACAGTAATCCAAACGACAGCATTTCCATTATAGCATTGGGGCTGCAATGTTATAATGTTACCTAGGCAATAGAGTTTGCACACCAGAGAGGGGGGGATACACCAATGGCCTCTGTGCACTGACACAATCCTGCTACTTAAGCATTGCTTTAAAATGTATTATTAGAAGTGGTCACTTTATGCCACCTTCCAGGTGTCGCCAAAGAGATACTGGCGACATCAAGTAGACTTGGTTGATAGGATGACATTTACAGGCCATACATTAGCCATTTCTAATGTATCTTCAGAACTTGGAAGAGTTGTATTGTTAAAAGCTTTCATGGCCTGAATCACTGGGTTGTTGTAAATTTTTCGGGCTGTGTGGCCATGTTCCAAAAGCATTCTCTCCTGATGTTTTGCCTGCATCTATTACCTCACAACCTCTGAGGATGCCTGCCATCGATGCAGGTGAAACGTTAGGAGATAATGCTTCTAAAACATGGCCACACAGCCTGTGAAACTTACAACAACTCAACTTGGAAAAATTATTTCTTGAACCGCAAGGACTCCGTGGATAGTGAAGGATGCAGGAAACATACTCCCAAAAGTAATTTATCCAAGTTTTTCATCCTTTTGTGAATTATGAACTTTGCTCTGAATCTCTGTATTAGCTTTTGTATAACTTCCATAGACTAAAGCAGGGACTATGGCTGCCACCTTCTATTGTACTATACACTAGTTTAATAGTCTACAGATTCTAAGATAAGAGGATACAAATCTGATAAGTAATTAAACAGAAGCCAGCCTCAGATTGTGAAGTGTGGCTTCCTAGAGAAATACCATCACTTGTTTCAGGAAAGCATGAGTAGAAGCAAAGAATGGACAGAAGAAAAACAGGGGCAGCTTGGGCTATGACTGGGGACACCTGGGCTCAAATCTCAGGTTACAGTATAGAGAATGCTGGACCAAGAAGATCATGGTTTAATTCCTCACTTAAATGATGCTCATTGGCTGATCTTCACTGGTCAGCCCATCTTACTTCATGGGCTTGATGTGGGTGTAAATGGGATCATAGAAGTAGCATTTACAATAAGCTCTTTGTTTCTCTAGCAGTATTAAATTTTATACCAAGTGATGAAAATCTGAAGAATGTAGAAACCAGTGCACTCTTGATTATATTTCATGTAATCTGTTCACAATCTCCTTCAAGGATCCAGTCACTAAGTGAAATAGAGAAATTTTTTGAAAAGAAAAATAAAAACAGGTGGATGGCTTCCTTGGGTGAGATCATACTTTCAGTCTACATACAGTCTGCCTCTTCTGAGGTGGGCAGACTGTACAATTAATTCGCTGAACAAAAAGTAGTGCTTCAAAGGTGGCAGTATGAAGCCCACTGGGTGCTTTGGAAGTCAGTCTTTGTCAGCCTAACCTACCTCATAGGGCTTTAAAGAAATACCAAAATGAAGGCATTTGAATGTATTTGAAACAGCTGGAGGTAACAAATTGCACTATCAGGATGCATCAAGTCCTGCAAAGATTCCACAAAACTTTGGGAAGTATTTGGACAACAATACTGTTGTACTCTCAGTTCATGAAGGTGCTTGTTATGTGGGTTCATGGGATAAAGAAACAACCTTCTGTGTTTTTAACGTAACTATTTGAAGAAAAATAAGGACTTCTCTGTCTTCCTCTTGCTCCTAGAATGTTAAACCTAGAGTGTTCATAAATGGGAGTGAAGCCACTACAACAAAATCTGAGGAAGTCCTTCTTGAGAAGAGGATGTCAGTTAATTAGTCCAGGCAGGATGAGATGGATGTCAACTGAATTGTTCTTCCGGAAATGTTTCGAGTGGGCAATCCAGTCTTCCAGTTCAAGCCAACCGCTTCCATTTTAGACTCTATATTTGGCTTTCCCGTGGTTATTGATAACACATATGTGCTGAAACAATAGAAGTTTCATATCACCAATCATGAAATGCAAATAACAGTATTTACACAACCACATTATGCACTACAATCATAGAAGTTGTGCTGACTTGTGTAAATCCCCACAACTGACAACATAGATTACTTGGGAGTGCTGAAAAAAAGGACTTCAACAAATATGTGTTGCCGTGCAGCAGGTTTAACCACTGAGCTGCTGAACTTGTGAACAAAAGGTTGGCGGTTCAAAACTGGGAAGTGGGGTGAGCTCCCGCTGTTAGACCCAGTTTCTGCTAACCTAGCAGTCTGAAAACATGCAAATTTGAGAAGATCAATAGGTACTGCTTCTGTGGGAAGGTAACGGCGCTGCATGCAGTCATGCCAGCCACATGACCTTGGAGACGTCTATGAACAACGCCAGCTCTTTGGCTTAGAAATGGAGATGAGCACCACCCCCTAGAGTCGGACACAACTAGACTTAATGTCAAGGGAAACCTTTACCTTTACCTTATAATGAGACAGGCCACTAGTTTGTACAGCTCAGCATTGTCCACACTGACTGACTGACTGACATGAACTCTATAGTGTTTCAGACCAAAGTCTTTTTTAGCCAGGGATGGAGCTCGAGGCCTTTAACATACAAACTATAAGTCTAAGTTACACCCTTTCTCCTCCCCTTCTACTGTGATTCTGATTCAAAACCACCACCTTCAAAGGTTACTGGATGGCTGTGTGCCAGCAGGTTGAGGGTGAATCCAGCAAAGACGGAGATCCTATGGCTGGGTCGACCGGGCAGTGGGGATATCCAGCTGCCTACCCTTGATGGCGAGGCGCTACGCCTGTCATCATTGGTCAAGAGTCTGGGAGTCCTTTTGGACCCTCTGCTGACGATGGAGGCCCAGGTCTCCGCCGTTAGCAGAACCGCCTTTTTTCATCTGCGGCAGGCTAGATGGCTGGCCCCCTACCTGTCCAGGGACGACCTAGCTAAGGTGATCCAGGCTACGCTCAAGATTGGACTACTGTAATGCCCTCTACATTGGCCTTCCTCTGTCGGTGATCCGGAAGCTCAAGTTGGTACAAAACGCAGCTGCTCGGCTTCTAGCGGGAATTCCGATGAGATGCCACATAACACTGATCTTACTACAGCTGCATTGGTTACCAATTGAGCACCGGATCACTTTCAAAGTGATGGTACTCACCTTTAAGGCCTTGCATGGTCTGGGGCCGATGTACCTGAGGGACCGCCTCACCCCCTAACAACCCCAGAGATCCCTCCGTTCTGAGGACCAAGATCTATTGGAAATTCCCAGTGTCAAGACGTTGCGTCTAACAGCAGCCAGACGCAGAGCCTTTACAGCAGTGGCACCATTGCTCTGGAATGCTCTGCCACCTGAAGTCCGTGCCTTGCGGGACTTAGCAGCTTTCCGCAGGGCATGTAAGACATACCTGTTTTGACAGGCCTTTGATTATTGATATTGCTGTTTTTAAGTTGTTTTAAATTATTTTTAAATTGTGTTAGATTTTAGTCATTCTTGTAAGCCGCTCCGAGCCCCAGGGGAATGGCGGCATATAAGTTCGAATAATAAATAAATAAATAAATAAAGGCAATGGGCCGCAGTTACTGAAGCAGTTTAGCAAAAGAGACATAGCTGAACTGTCAGAGTTAAATGGAACGTTTGGAAACATTATTTTTGGAATACAATCCCCACAACTTCCTACTCAGCTTGGCCAGTGGCCACACTGACCGATTCTGGTAGTTCCAAAGAAGCAAATTTTCTAGGGTCTGAGCACATCATACACCTAATGAAAGGCTGTATGTATGCACATGCACACATGCTTATGCAACCCCAGATTGAAAAACATAGCAGAGAAACCATGGAAATGATTATGGTAACAAACACTAAGCAGAAACAAAACTGAGACTAGTTGGGTTATCATGTCACATGTTTATAAAACAAATTTCTTTGGCATTCAAAGGATGGGCGTCACTTACATTAAGATCTCTGAAGTACTCATTGTAGTCTAAGGCATAGCCCACCACAAACAAATTTGGAATTTCAAATCCATAATCTGGAACAAAAAAACAAGGAAGGAATTGGAAAAGTATGCATTTTTTCTGTAATACCTGGATCCCCTAATGAGCTGGAAAAGTATGCATAGCAAAATCCCAGTGATTGCTAATTCAGGACTCTTAGATGGGAACATTTTCATTACGGCTAAAGAAGAGTGTGTCTGCTCCAAAATTAGATATCTGAAATCAGGGAGTTCTAACTGACTTTGGATATACTGTGGGGAAGGGAATCTTCACTCACTCTGTAACTCTGTAACTCATACTTAAACACAACTTGGAGGAGCGAGCATCTCTAAGGAGTTTTCTGACAGCTTTAAACAACCAACTTGGACAGTATCACACTATATTGCGGATTTTGCACTTGGTTGCAAGACAACACCCAATTGGACAATGTTTCTTTCTAAAGCTGCAACACTGTCTAGTCCTCTTGAGCAAAATGCTGACACCATATATTTTTCATTACAATTGTGCATTGTATATTGAAATTGTGCAACAGAGTCTAGACATTAACAAGTGTTACATAATGTTGCGATTCTCCACGAGGGTTCTGCATTGTTCTTGTAGCATATCTCTCCATGCAGATCTTTGACTACAGAAAGGCGATGTCAGATAGCAGCCAGAACTATAGTTCTCACATACATCGCTACAAATACAACAATTGACATTAATAAACCAACTTCAACACACCTTAAAATGACCATGTGGACATGTATTAATTAGTTCCAGATGTTTCCCTTAAACAGCGCTAAGGCAACTGAGGCACAAAGGGAGGGACTGGCTATAAAGGGAGCATTCTTATCTAGGTGGCACTTTGATTGCTTAAATGCCATTCTTAGCATCCCTTTTGAACAACACCCTGGTGACTAGACCTGTTGCATCTTGCCTGTTGACCGAAAGCATGACAATGGAACATTTTAGTTACTTCCTAGTCAGGAAATGAAGAGAATCCGCACGAGAGCACTTACAGTCAGGTCTGTACCCATCAGGTTGAGATGTCCTCTTCAGCAGCAAGCTATCATTAAATAAAGAACAAAATGTTTTGGTGGTTTGAAGAAAAACTGGACTTGTTCAAATAATTCATTTTCTTGGCTTCATTAAATGTATATTTTTGCACTCTTTCCTACTGACTCCATTCAGGCCTATGACAGGTTGAGTCCAGAGTTAATGAAATGTTGCCCAGAATCATCTAGCTAGCATAGCCAAGAGAAATTGAATTGTTGCCCATGTGTGAGGCCGCTGAGTCCCCCTCGAGGTCAAAAAGGACAGGATACAAATATGATAAATACACAAATAAATAAATACATTTCTAGGAGTTATAGTTCAAAAAAGTAATTTTTAAAACTCTGCTTTAATTGCGGCCCAGCAACAACATATTGGGGCTTGCCAGATACCTCAGAAAAGACAAAGATATCTTCACTGATATATACGCTCCATCTAGTCCAGGACTGTCTACTCTGTCAGTAAGTCTTAGGCCCTTTCCACACAGCTGAATAAAACCCCACATTATCTGCTTTGAACTGGAATATATGGCAATGTGGACTCGGATAACCCAGTTCAAAGCAGATATTGTGGGATTTTCTCCCATGATATTCTGGGCTATATGGCTGTGTGGAAGGGCCCTAAGGTAAAGAAAACTATTTCCCAAGATCTCCTACCTCATTCAATTTAACCAGAGGGGCCCAGGCTCAAATCTAAAACCATAGTTTGCCAAGAATGTCTTGTATACTTTACTATATGTAGCAATGATCCTGACTTAAGGAGGATCTTTCTTTCCTAAATAATCACATGGTAGCATGCTGAACATCTAATATAGCAGTGGTTCTCAACCTGGGGTCCCCAGATGTTTCTGGCCTACAACTCCCAGAAATCCCAGCCAGTTTACCAGCTGTTATGATTTCTGGGAGTTGAAGGCCAAAAACATCTGGGGACCCCAGGTTGAGAACCACTGTAATATAGGGATGAGGAACTTTGGGCCCTCCAGAGGTTTTGGCTTGCAATCCACATAAATTATAGCCAGTACAGTCACAGGTAAAGAATGACAGAATTATAAAAAGTCTATAGGGGCAATTTTCTATCTCTTTTAATGTAAGGGTGGAACTACATAACTCATTTTTCTGTAATACCTGGATCCCCCAATATAGACCCTCTATTAATACAAAAAGTAAGCTTTTCTGAGTTCTGCTAATGAAATCCTTTCAACTGAAGGATCTAAGTTTTGAAAGTGAATACAAAGAATATTCCTAATCCTCTTTTCATATTCCTTTCCCAAATACTACACACTTACCTTGCCACTTTAACCATTCTAGGCTCACATTTTTCTATATTATTTAGGAGGGCTCTCATTGTCCTTCCAGTTCCGATGATATCCTTTGTAAAGCATAAGAAGAAAAATGAACAAAGAAATGCAAAGTTCTATAACTTCAACATCATTCCATTATTCTAATCTCTTTGGGAAATGGTTGCTTCCATTCCCCTTTTCAATGTCAGTTAAAATAGCAACAAAATAGTGTTATATGTACCAGAGCACAGAAAAGAAGTTTTGTTCTTTGAAATATAAATAGAAAACACTTCCCTTCTGTTGAAATTAATTTCAACCCAAGCTTTTTTAAAGAAAGCTTCAAAATCGGCTTTGTCAAGATATATATTCTACATTTATAAGATAACACAAAATATCTATATAAACCTGTTCTTGTGGCTAGAGATTTGAGTAGTCACTGCATAGGACTAAGACTCTGTAGCCAGGTAACTTTTCCAACAACAATAACTAACAACAACAACAACGATGATGATGATGATAGGGACTTACCTCCACAATTAACACGTTCTGAAGCAAAATAAATTTAAAAGAAAAAAGAGAGAAAGGAGAGAAACAAATGAAATTAGACAACACAATAGATGTGTGGCAAAGAATACAACAGTTGTCTGTGAGCCCCTTAATTCTAAGACTTCTTTACTTTCCTAGTGAGTTGTGGGATGGGAAAGAAAGTCCTGGTTCTAGGTAGTTGTAAGTACGATTCTTTTCTGGGAAACAGTAAAGTCACAGAAAAAAGGAAGAGTTTCTTGGTTCTACTTGATCATCTGAAGTTCCCAGCCAGATTTGTATTCACTATGTGATGAGGTATGTCCTTCTTATGAGAGATAGTGAGTGGTTTTCCTTTCCTAATTTCACCTATAACAGCCAAGCTTTTGATGTTGCATTTCCACTTTTAAACTGATCAAAAATATTCTATAGTTTCAAAATATTGCTGAAACTTTATTTTGAGGGCATGCATATAATTCCTTATCACTTTCTCATTTATAACTTCTTCATGGACTGGAGACTTCTCTATGTGACAAACATCTCTTAAAGCAGTGGTTCTCAACCTGAGGGTCCCCAGGTGTTTTGGCCTACAGCTCCCAGAAATCCCAGCCAGTTTACCAGCTGTTAGGATTTCTGGGAGTTGAAGGCCAAAACATCTGGGGACCCACAGGTTGAGAACCACTTTCTTAAAGGTAATTCCTAGTTGACTTTAATCTTGGTCTTAACACAAATGCAAGTGTACACACAGAGTTGGAACTAGCCCATCAGCTGTGTTGCAGAAGACAGCCACCTTGCTTCCTTTCCTTTCTGTTTTGCGATTTTCCTTTCTTGCTACTTACCGGACCGAGTCCTGGTTCTGCCACCGGGACATGGCCCAGTGAGTAGCGAGTGAGCAAGGCAGGGTGGGTGGGTGAGCGAGCAAGGGATGGCCACAAAGCAGAAGCAATGGTAGAAGCAGGAGCCTGGCCATCTCTTCCAGGCTCCTGCTCCTGCCTCTGCTTCTGGCTTTTGCGGCCCTCCCTCCCTCGCTTACCCACCCACCCGTCCTCCCTTGCTTGCTCGCTGCTCACTGGGCCGAGTCCCGATTCTGCCACCGGGATCCGGCTGGTAAGTACTGAGCGAGGGAGGAAGGGTGAGCGAGCGAGGGAGGGCGGCATAGAGGTGGCCAGGGTCCTGCTCCTGCCACTGATGCTGCTCTTGCCGCCCTCACTAGCTCACCCACCTGTCCTCCCTTGCTTGCTCACTCACCGGGCCGGGTCCCAGCAGTAGAACCAGGACTCGGCCTGGGGAGTAGCAAGGTGAGTGAGTGAGTGAGTGAGCGAGTGAGCAAGCGAGAAGGGTGGCAAAGGTGGCAGTGGCTGCAGAAGCAGGAGCCTGGCTGTTTCTTCCAGGCTCCTGCTTCTGCCGCCGCTGCCGCCTTCCCTCACTTGCTCATTCACCAGAATGGATTGCAGCGGCAGAAACAGGACTTGGCCTGGTGAGTGAGTGAGTGATGGAGGAAAGGGTGAGGGAGCAAGCAAGGGAGGGCAGGGAAGGTGGCAAAGGCGGCAGCTGATAATACAGAGTGTCGGATAAGTGGAAGTCGGATAACCAGGGCTCTATTGTATATAGCGTCTCTACTTCACGGATTTTCACTTTTCGTAGGTCGTCCTGGAATGTAACACCCATGATAAGTGAGGGAACACTGTATTTGTCTTATACTAAGTCAGACTATTGGGCTATCTAGCTTAGCGCTGTTCATACCTACAATCTTTTCTGATGGGAGAAACCTGATCTGTAAATAGCTAAGACTATTCAAGCCACAAGGCAACACCTTTGCAAATTATATTAACAAATGGTAGCAGGTTAGCTAATAAAACCTTTTAAGAGACGCAGTATGCTTTATGGGTGGCAAGAGTAAATCCCACAGAAATCCCTTCTGCTGATCAACAATAACATTTACTTCAGCTTTCTTTCTAATGGGAAATAACTCAGCTAATAATAAGCTCATGTGAAACTGGTAGAGCTTGAAAATTTACTTTTTTTGGACTACAAGTCATATAATCCCCCAGTCTCACTTTTCCAAAATCTAGCTGTTGGTGATAACAACAACAACTTTATTGTTATATGCCACCACCATCTCCCCAAAGGGACTCAGGGTGGCTTACAGGCGGCACAAAGTGCTTAAAAACAAACATAAAAGTGAACACAACATAAAATACAATAAAATAAAATACATGTGCATATAAAAACATCAATTAAGACCCTTTCCCCATTTTTCTTCTGCAATGTTTAGAAACTACAGCAATATTTCTATGTAGTCTTTCTTGGTTGTACTGTAATAAATGTAATAATATAGTATGTTCCTGTTGCAGAGTTATGTAATTATTATATAAAGAAGCTTGATTATCCTGTTTTAAAAAGCTTTGCAACAGATTGCTTTTGTTAACTTTGATGCAAACATCGTTCCAAGCCTTCTGTTTAACTTTAACCTCATCAACAGCTGACATTATTTGGGCTTCCTGGTACCCTGAAGGCCACTACTCCAGAGAGCCTTGTAAAATGAGACTGTTGTCCCATTTCAGAACTTGGAAAAATTAAGTTTTTAACAATACAATTTCTGGAATGCTTAGCCAGCATGATCAGTGAGCATGATAACTTATGTAGTATGGGAGCAATAGTCCAAAAATCCTAACTTTTCTAAGCCATGCCCAGTCTTGCAAACAATTCAGTAGTGAAAGGCATTCTGGTATGACAACAAATTGTTCTTCATTGGAAGGAGAACAAAAAAGGGCAAAGGGAGCAAATTTTAAATGTGTGAATATTATGTCCAGTATATTATAATAATAATAATAATAATAATAATAATAATAATAATAATGATAATAATACTTTATTTGTACCCCGCTACCATCTCCCCAAGGGACTCGGTGCGGCTTACATGAGGCCGAGCCCACAAGACATCAGCAAAAACAACAACAACAATAATACAAAACAATGAAATAAAACTCAAACAAAAATAGGCAGTAAACATCAACAATAACATAATAGCATTTAAAAATATGGCTGGGCCAAATGTAATGATTAAAATTTAAAAAATAATGCTGAGCAAGACCAGGTGAAATATAACTAGGATAGAATTTCGGAAAAGAATGGGGTGAACAGTCATTCTTAGATCACTAATAAAGTGCATTGAGGGACATATTGCTGGGAGTTTCCTTATTCTGGGAAGGAACACTGGAACAACCATGTTTTCAGGCTCCTCCTAAAGACTGCCAGAGTTGGGGCATGCCTGATGTCCTTGGGGAGTGAGTTCCAGTCGAGGAGCCACCACCCAAAGTAAAGAGATTCTCCTGACATTGAGTCTAGTCGTGTCTGACTCTGGGGGGTGGTGTTCATCTCCATTTCTACGCCAAAGAACTGCCATTGTCCATAGACACCTCCAAGGTCATGTGGCTGGCATGGCTGCATGGAGCACCATTACCTTCTCATCGAAGCGGTACCTATTGATCTATTCACATTTGCATGTTTTCGACCTGCTAGGTTGGCAGAAGCTGGGGCTAGCGGCGGGAGTTCACCCCGCTTCCCATATTCAAACTGCCAACCTTTCGGCCAGCAAGTTCAGAAGCTCAGCACTTTAACCCACTGTGCCATGGGGCTCCATTTATGTCCCAAACAAACTTAAATGAAATCATGACTGTTTTTCATATACCTGTGTAATAATGAAGCTGGGAAGCATTACAAACCATGACTGCAGGATTTATTAGTTAGATTTTGGCTATGCATTTTCCATGAAAAATGGCCAAGAGAACAAAACAACAATAAATCCCACAATGGGGGGAAAAAATAAAAAGTAACTTGACAGTAACTTGATATGAATCTCAAATGTGAAGAGATAATTTTTTTTAAAAAACTCAGCCGGTTGAAACAGAATTATATTAAAGGTGCCATTTTTTTAAAAATCGCAGCTACAGAGAAGAACAAATCAGCAATGAAAGTGAAATGTCTGTCTAAACAAAACATTTGGCCCACTAACAATTCTAGAGTTGTGCTCAGGAAGCTGCATAGCATGTTTAATTTGTATGCCTCACTACAACAAACCTGCCCATTTTTCTTTGTTTGGAGGACATGAACATGCTTTCACTCATTGGACTGTGTTCAATTTAGAAATCCACAGACAAAAAATATCCTCAAAGCTCAAATAACACCAAATGCAAGCAGCATCATGAACTTCAACAAAACTTTTATGAGTGAAGAATACTGAAATTATTTTTTTAAATTAAGAAGAAAAGAAGAAACAAACACAGAGAAAGTTATGAATGGAACAGGGGGACAACTTTCACTCTTTTTTCTGCTCCTAACATCTGGAATATTCTATCTGACCATGTAGGTTTTCACTTTACTGTTAATTTGCTTTACTGGTAAGGGATGGAATCCAGATGTTGTTGTTGTCTTTGTTCATTCGTTCAGCCGTTTCTGACTCTTCGTGACCTCATGGACCAGCCCACGCCAGAGCTCCCTGTCAGCCATCACCACCCCAGCTCCTTCAAGGAATCCAGATTTAGTAAACCATAAATATAAATGGAGTTTAAGTTACTGATCCTATTGACTTCAATGTCTCTCCTTTTATTCATAATTAAATCTAAACTTTTCAATGGTGCAGAGCCAGACTAAACTGAATTTAGGTCCTTTTGAAGTAAATGGGACATATTGATCATGACTAAATCAAATTCCATGCTTTATCACCTGTGTGAAGTGCTTTGAGCTCTAATTTAGTTGTGGACGGATATATAAATATTGTAAATAAAGATAGTTACTGTCAATGATATCCTCAAATAGATCCTCCATTTATTAACAGTATCTCTTTATGTTTATGCTTGGAGGCATTATCGTTGTTGGAGCATGTAAAAATCAGATGGTGAGAGTATTAACTGAAAAATGCAAAGCTGATTGGTTGAGCCATGACTGAGAGGCTACCTGAGCCTGGGAGTTTTGGCAACAGTTACATCTTTAGGTTTTATGGGCAGGAGCTTCCCAAAACAAGT